TTTAAGTCAAACAAATGCTTTTTAAAAATCATCCATATCTTTTAAACCGTAACTCCGATTTAAACATGTTATATATGGAATTTGATTAGAAAAATATGTAAAATATGAATATGAGATTATTTTTACCTGTTAAGTATTTTTATATATTATTTTGAAATATATTTGAGTCAAACCAAATGATTTTCTAAATTATCTTTATCTTTTAAACCGTAACTTTGGTTTTAACATATTATATATGAAATTTTATTAGAAAAATGTGTGGAATCTAAATATGATGTTAATTTTACCTGTTAAATATTTTTTAAATATTATTATGGAAGCAAACTTATAATTTATAGCGCAAGATTTTTTTTTTCATACCGGCGGCGATCCGGATTGCAAATAAACACCCCACTATAACCATATACGGAAAAGAAAACATCGATAACTACACATGCATACCTCTAAAAAATATCGCAGGGAAAAACAACAGATTTCTCATTGCAAGAGTGAGAGAAAGCGAGCGAGAGAGAGAAAGGGAGGGAGAGGGAGGAGAGAGGAAGAGAGAGACGCCTTAGGATTAACCATATTCAACACGCGTTTTTTGTTGTTTTGTGTGAACACCGAGGCCATCGCCGGCGAGGATGAGAAGGAGGATAAGCGGCAACACAAATATGATGCCTCACAAAAATAAAGGAGATGGACCTACTGTGGTCTTGAGTGATGGTGGTTGAGTTAAGAGCGTGTGTTATGTTTTTTCTCCCGTTGCAATGCATAAGCTCTTTTGCTAGTAATAATAAAGCAAATTGGGTTTCTTTCGTCCGTCATGGCATTTTTCAGAAAAGTCCCTCTATTTCAGAGAATTCAACCCGTAGTCCTGTTTTAAGTTAAAACGAATCGTTATTTTTGTATTTTACACGGAAATCCATGTCTTTTCTTGAAATCAACCCGCCGTCCGGATTTAAGTCACACCTGAATCGTTATTTTACATTTTTCGAAAAAAAACCCTGATGTTTTAGGTAATTCATCCGCGGATCATATTTAAGTCAAACAAATGCTTTTTAAAATCATCCATATCTTTTAAACCGTAACTCTGATTTGAACATGTTATATATGAAATTTGATTAGAAAAATATGTAGAATATGAATATAAGATTATTTTTACCTATTAAGTATTTTTCAATATTATTTTGGAATATATTTGAGTCAAACCAAATGATTTTCTAAATTATCTGTACTTTTAAACTATAACTTTGATTTTAACATATTATATATGAAATTTTATTAGAAAATTGTGTGGAATCTAAATATGTTGTTAATTTTACCTGTTAAATATTTTTAAAATATTGTTATGGAAGCGAACTTACAATTAGCGCAAGATCCGTTTTTTTCATACCGGCGGCGATCCAGATTGCAAATAAACACCCCACTATAACCATATAGGGAAAAGAAAACATCGATAACTACACATGCATACCTTTGAAAAATGTCACAGGGGGAAACAATAGATTTCTCATCGTGAGAGTGAGAGAGAGGGGGGGGAGAGGGAGAGGAAGAGAGAGAGGGGGGGAGAGAGACGTCTTAGGATTAACCATATTCAACACATATATTTTTTTGTGAACACCGAGGCCATCGCCGGCGGGGGTGAGAAGGAGGATAAGCGGCAACACAAATATGATGCCTCACAAAAATAAAGAAAATGGACCTATTGTGGTCTTGAGTGATGGTTGTTGAGTTAAGAGCGTGTGTTATGTTTTCTCTTCCGTTGCAACGTACGGGCTCTTTTGCTAGTTAATATAAAAACTATCTTAGAGCAACTCCAACGGGCCGATCCAAACGGATGGCGATTTCGTCCGGTTTTTGTTCGTTTGGGTTGGCCACCCGCCCGGCGTCCGCCCTGTTTTTCATATGGGTCGGCAGCGCGCCCAACGCACCGACCCATATGTGCAGGTGTGGCCGGCTGGCCGCCCAATTTTACATTGATTTGCATTCAAACATATTATGAAATAAAATAACAAGCAAAATAGTTTAGCCGCCCAAATAAATAGTGTAGTTTTACAAGCCAAATACAAATAAAAATGTTTCACATAGTTTTGCAAACGAATAAAAGAAGATACATCTATTGGTTGCCAACATGAGTCCACATATGCTCAACCAAATCATTTTGCAGTTGCACGTGAGTTTCCCAATCACGCATGTCTTCATGAAACTGAGTGAACTGCTCAAATGTTGCCGCTACTCCATGCTCACGCACAACATTCTCACCCTGAAACTGAAAGCCTTGATCGTACAGACGTTTTGGGCGCTCGTCTTCTACGATTATATTGTGCATGATCACACAAGCAGTCATCACCTCCCATAGTTTATGCATGCTCCAAGTATTAGCAGGATACCGAACGATGCCCCATCGAGATTGCAAAACACCAAAGGCACGCTCGACATCCTTTCTAGCACTCTCTTGCTCTTGGACAAATCTTTTCTTTTTCTCTCCGACAGGGTTGGGTATTGTCTTGATAATAGTGGTCCACTGAGGATAGATACCGTCACCCAAATAGTACCCTTTGCCGTAGTTGTGGCTGTTGACAGTAAAGCTCACTGATGGGCTGTTGCCTTCGGCAAGCCTAGCAAACACCGGCGAGCGCTGAAGCACGTTGATATCATTGTGTGATTCAGCCATGCCAAAGAAAGAGTGCCAGATCCAGAGATCTTGAGACGCCACGGCCTCTAGTATGACAGTGCAAGCCCTGACATGTCCCTTATACTGCCCTTGCCAAGCAGAAGGGCAGTTCTTCCACTCACAGTGCAGTCACTCTATGCTGCCAAGCATCCCCGGGAAGCCCCTGCTGGCATTCATCGCCAACAAACGGGTTGTATCTTCAGATGTCGGCTCTCTCAAGTACTCAGGGCCAAACACAGCAATCACAGCCTTGCAGAACTTATACAGGGCCTCTAGGCATGTAGACTCGCTCATACGGACGTACTCGTCAATGAGATCACCGGGCACTCTGTATGCAAGCATTCGGATGGCGGCAGTGCATTTCTGATCAGAGGAGAAACCAATCTTGCCGACGGCATTCTCTTTGCACTCGAAGTAGTCATCATAGCCGACCACTCCCTCTCTAATACGGTTGAAAACATGCCTACTCATATGAAACCGGCGGCGGAATTTGTGATGTTTGAACAACGGGTTTGTTGTATCAAAGTAGTCCTTCCAGAGAAGGAAATGCCCGCTCTCTCGGTTACGGTTCAACGCCGGAAGGTGGCCCGAAATGGAGCCACGGAACCACGGCTGCTGATTGTTGAGGTGGTGATGGACCAACACGACAGCCAATATCTCATCCTCGTCGTCGGACGACGAATCATCGAAGTCGCAAAGGAAATTGTGGAAAAAAAACTCATCGGCAGAGTCCATTTGCGTACCTTGGCAAACTGTCGAACAACTTGCGGGCGTCGAAGGAGACAACCCGCGAGGGGAGACGCGGCGCCCACAGACCAGCTAGCTACCATGCCGGCGTCCGACGAGCGTGCCGGTCGGATGTGAGGGGGGCGGCGAGGCGTCTTCTTGGTCGCGGGCGACTGTGCGGTGGGGGGAGTGGCGGCGGGAACCAGTTTGCTCCCCGGCGGCAAAACGACGGCGACGAGCGACTGAGGGCAGGGGCGTTGCTGGGCGGATGTGGAGGCGGCGGCAGCTGGAAGAGTCGCCGGCAAAAATGGACGGCGGCGTCGGTGACGGAGGAGGCGGGGCGAGGGTTGCTTGTTGGCCGGGGGGATGAGAGGGGAGGGGAGGCCAATGTGCCACAGACCAGCGGGCCCGGGGACAGGAGTAGGCGAGCGCGCGCGTGCGTCCGTCGCATGTCCGCGCCGACGCAAATCAGACTAAAAAATAGGCCGAGAATGGGTCGCCCGCGGACGAAAAATGGACGCGTGTCCATTTGAGTTGGCGCGTTGGGTCGCCTTTTCTGTCCGCGCCGACCCAAACGGACGACCACGGACGAAACAAGTCGCCCCATTAGAGTTGTTCTTATTAACCATCGTACGGTTTTTTTGGGGGGTGTCAACCATTGTACGTGCCTAACCAAACACGCCGACTGATGTGGCGCCCGTGCCGGTGAGCCTAGCGTCGCCCTTCTTCTTTTTTGGCTTCCTATGAGGGGAAAGGTGGGCTTGCAGTCGCCACTTGTGGTCCTGCACTCCTGCTCTGCCACAGCCCGCAGGATAAGAAACATGCTCCCCGTGCTCATCGCTGGTGCCTCTGCGCCGCCGCGTCCCTTCTCCCCCTGGCGCCGGCGCGAGCTACCCATCCGGCTGTCCTCGTCCAAACCTCCCCGTGCCCTGCAGAACCGCGAGGGCGGTAGTAGGCCCCTGGGGCGCGCCTGGCCGGCCGTCTCCGCTGCCCTCTTCGGCGCGGGGTTCCTCCTCGGGCCGCTCCTGGACGGCATCCACTCCCGCGTCGGCCTCCAGGTGTACGGAAACGGCGCCCTCGACCTGGGCCCCCTCCACACTCACATCCTGGTAAACGGCGGCGTGTCCGGTGCGTCGACCCTTCCCCTCAGCGCTGATCTGATCGGGTGTTGTTTGCTCGTGCCGCGCCGGCGCAGGTGCCGCCCCTGCTCGGAGCGTTCTACTGCACCGTGGGGCTGCTCCAGCTCTTCCTGGACGAGAGGGCGCCCCCGAGATCCAAGGCCACCGGCAGCCCGCGCGACACGGCGACGTCGCTCATGTAAATGTCCCCGTGCCGCCGCCGCCGCCGCGCGTCCATCGTCAGGCGTCAGCGCGTGCGTTCTGACTTCGTGGCTGCTGTGGTCCGCAGAGTCCTCGCCCTGTTCATCGAGCTGAGCGCGGAGATGTACAGAGCGGGGGTGCCGAGCAACGTGGAGGCGTACGTGCTGTTCGCCGTGGCGGAGTTCGTGTGGCTCTTCCTCGACAGCTCCTGGCTCGGCTTCGCCCTGGCCTGCCTCGTCGGCGTCGCCTGCCCTCTCGCCGAGGTCCCGCTCGTCAGGTAACAGCACCGCCACTCCACTCTGTAAAATTTTCACCCAAATCATTACTCGGCTCATCCTTCTAGTCCCTACAAACATCGATCGCTGCTGCTGCAGATTGCTCGAGTGCTGGAGCTATCCCAATGCCGACGTCCAGCTGTTTGGCACCGTAAGTAGCAACATCCACTGTCATATTTTCATCTGGCCTACTAGATCATCTGATGGCGAGAGCTGTTGGTTGATGGCAGGGGCTGATGAGCTGGACGACGACGTGCTACTTCGTGTACACGCCTTTCCTGGCGAATCTGGCGAGATTGCTCAAGTCGCGGCTAGCGGACGATAAAACGGAGGGGAAGGAAGAATGAAGCGGCTCGCCTATGAGTTTCGGGGGAGCCCTCCTATGGAGCCAGCGCATGGTCAAACGGGTAGCGCAAGAAAAGCTGAGGCTCAAGAGCCATTTGGGATCGATTCAGACTTTAGGGTCGGATCAAGATCGACTGAGCTGAGTATTATTGTCTTATGTAGCTTATCCAAAAACGAGCTGATCTTGAGCCAATGCTATTTTATTTTATTTTGACGGGAGCCAATGCTATACTTTAGCCCCACTGCTCGCCATAGCATAAATATGCACTATAATGATCCTACTCCTTTAGCATTTTTAAATTTAAGAAAATAACAAAAATAATCAATAATTCTAAAACATTTTTGGAGCGCACGTTGTCAAGCGTTCTATGCATGTATCAAGTTTATAAAGAAATGACTTTCTGTTTTTTTGGACGATATATATATATATGGATGCCCGTAGACCCAGGTGGGTATTTATTAATGTATTATCCTATATGTGCTGTGTAGGTATTTTTCTCTCCTTTTTTATCCCCAAGCAAATACAAAAAGTTAGTCAACTATTCAGTAAATTTAGGCATTAATATGGTACGTGGTCAGGCCCTATGCTAACTATCATGTTGTCAGCTCAAAGAAAAAATCATGTTATTGTTGTCTATCTAGTTGAAAAGGTTTTGTGCAAAAACAAAACCCTGGCAACTTGAGTAAATTTAGCCAACCTATACAGCGAACACGTCTGGCCAAACTATAAAGCGAACACGTCTATATCATCATACAGAGGTTGGTGTATAAATCTCATAACATGCCAAAATTTGTACAGCAAACGCTTTGCAGACAAAGCCCTTGCTATTTGATGTAAACTTGGTATGGACGTTGGAAACACATTTTGGAGTCAATTTAGCTGTGCCAATTGACGCTCAAATCTGTACAGGCTACTTAACAGGCAAAATCTTGCAACAAGTGCTACTACAAGAAACATAGGTTTCCTACCCTAGAAAAAGATAGGTTTCGCCTGCTTCCCTCAGCAGTACTACCACCGTCAATGTAACCGTGGCAGCCAAGAAAAACACGCTGCTAGAAGCACAAATCTTTTTCTTTGACAGCGCAATCCAATCATTCAAATTATAATCAGCTTGAAAAAGCTAACCACAACTGCCGTGCGGTTATAAGCACAGATCTTTAGGGATCACTTCGGCAGATTTCATCCAACATTGCTTTTTCAAAAGGCTTAGAACTTGTGCCAAAATCACTCTACTCACTAAAGATTCATATCATAGGATAGCAACAAAACCTAAATCGATAAACAGGAGCAGAAGCTGTCACCATATTACTGCTGCATGACGCGTGAGTGTGATGCATTTCTCAAGGAGCATCTCATTCTTCTCTTTACACAAGGGAATAGCGTACACTCTCTCAAAAAAAAGTGAACAGCATACACGTTGCAAACAAAGCCCTGGCGATACTTGGTATAGCTGGCCCAGTTGACGCTCAAATCTTTACAGGTTACCAGGCAAAATCACTCAAAAGTACTACACCATTTGTTCAAGAACAGAACAAACGAGTAGCATATAAACTTGCCGGACTCATATCCGACTCTAGCACAGTTTGGGCGGCAAAGATAGAAACTCAAAAGGAAATATTGCGGACTTATTGTTACTTTATTTCTCCTGGATACAATGCCTTGGACTATTTATATATATGCATGCAAATAAGTTCTTCAACCCTCCAGTGCAAATCCTACAAAGTGGTAGTGAGTGCAAAAGATGATGCATAGCTAACTGAGTTTGGTAGGCTAGAAGTTGTTCCAAACAGTCACCCACTTTATACTTTCTCACAACTAAAGAATTACATCCTCTGTTCCTAAATGTAAGACGTTTTGGCAGTTCAAATGATACTCAGCATGACTCTACACCAAAAGGGTACTAGCATTGCATATGACCCTTGATGAGAATAAGAAACAAGGATACAATAAACTGCGATGTCCACAGATCTGATATGCCAGTTTTCAAATCCAATTTAGCAACAAAATAGGAGCAAATTCCCTTATACGGTTACCAGTGTGGCAGAAAATTAAGAAGAAACATGAATGACCAATATCACGTTAAATACTGTTCAAAACGGCCACAACATCAACCAGTTTCAACATAGTAAAAGAAAAGCAGCCGATGTGATGTCTTAATTTCGTTTTAACAGTTCCTGCTTCTTTGTGATGGTACTGGAGACTGCAACAGAATGAGCAACTGGAACAAATGTTGCTTACTAAGATTCTTACCTTCTGAAAGACTGAAACTACATAACAGAAAATAGGCGCTAAGAAGTAGCACACCATTGACTCAGATTCCTCACAAAGGCGCCCTGAAAATTCAGGAACCGCTCTTAGGTACTCAAAGAAATGGAGGGAACAATGGGTCAACACCTCCTAATAAGATGAAGGTTACCAAGTCCGTGTCTATTGTTGTAACGTAGTCGCGACCCTGTAACCGCTTTACCTAACTTACCTGGAACACCGCCTTACCTTTGTACCAGTTTCTTGAACTATGTGAAGGCTAAGTCTAAATACATTTGAATTGCACAGCTAAGATATAAAAAGACTAAAACGAGTGTTAACTCACCGCCATTCCACAGGCTAATATCGCCCATAGGTCCTCCCTAAATCGTCATGTCTGTCATGCTGAAACTCGCCATAAGCAGCATGACGCCTTGGAGCAGAATAGTTATCAGTAGCATATGGATATGTGTTCTTTGAATCAATTGGTGGACCAGTAGCAGCATAATGTGCAGTTCTCTGATCAAAATCGCTATACCCAGTTTGGGCGTATGAGGTCTGCTGAGCTTGCTGTTGCCTTTTAAAACTTTGTTCAAGAAATTCATCCCACTTCCTTGCTTGCATACTCCTTGTGACCGACACACTCTTCATGTGGTTCTCCCTCATTTCTCTAAGTGACTGTATTAGAAAGAAGAATTTCATTAGTAAACACCACAGTCAAGTAGCAAGCCAGTTCAACATAAAAGGTAAAACACTACGAGACAACTGTACTGCAAGGTTGAAACTTGAATAGGCATAATTACTGGTTATACTGGTCTCCCTTTACAACAAACCCCATTTCTAGCATATGACCAAAATTTTATTGTGAATAATGGATACAAATATCATATTACTTTGCACCAGCCACTAGCATTTGATTAAATATTTGAGAAGTGAATGGAGATAGAACAGTGTGTGCTACAACTTACAAAACAAACAAAAGAAAAACTCCCTCCGTCCCGAATTACTTGTCACAGGTATGGATGTATCTAGATGTATTTTAGTTCTAGATACATCCATTTCTGTGACCAGTACTTTGGGACGGAGGGAGTAAATTATTAGTCCTCGCAAGTTGTGTAAGTTGTCTTGCCCTTTGGTAAAGAAACTAACTGTTACTACATAATTCTAATAAGGCAGGCAAATGATGTCATGAGAGATTTTTTTCCCTAAAAAAACTAGTGGTGGATATGCACCATCTTAAGTGCAGTCCTTCCAAGATGCTGGGAACAAGTATATTGGGACCTCAAACACTCAGTGGGCTCATTTTAACTCTACTTTTTTTACTGAAACCAACTGCTCATCCAATTCAAAGTTGTTAACATAAGAAGGCATGTACAGCTAGAATAACCAAGTAAAATTTGGTACGCGCGGATATTTTCCAACTTAAAGGCCGGATGCAGTAAGGCATTGCGATACCAGAACCCAAAATTCGGAGACATTTGGTTGATATTTAATCTACGTTTACATGAAGTTACTAAAGACCAGCTTTTAGACCAAGAAATGTAAAACAACACTTTGAAGAAGAAAAAGATCTGGAGGATTTTGTTTTCATATTCGCATAGTTGGGGTAAAGTGGTTTATTGTGCTACATACTTTCTAATACTTCTATGTGGGATGGTTATACAAATTTATCTGAAATTCATTTAACTTGGTAAAACAAGGCTAGGGTACAGTGTTAGAATTAATTAAACGACAAAATAACAGAAAATTTCAAATTTATTTATTAACAGAGAAAAATTTCAAGCAGTATACTATACCAAAAAGAAATTTACCTCGCGATGCTTAGAGTTCTCTTCATCCTCCTCCTGGTCACGGGCTCTAGCTAATTCCATTGCTTCTCTTTTGAACTCAATTTCAAGCTCTTCCAAAGTTTGTGGATAGGAAGGGAGGTCAAACTTAAGGTCTAGATGGGCATCTGGTCCATGTCTCTCAGTGCTGCAGTTATTGGGCATATGTGCCGCAGCATATTGGCTATTCCCACCATGTGATCTAAGGGGTTCATCAAGATAAGAGGGTCGAAATGGAGATTTTGATTGGACTGGATGGTCTTTTGCTCCATAGTTGGTATAAGCTTCAGCAAAAGGAAGAACATGCAAGATATAGATTTTAGTTCCAGATGACTAAGATACCTAAGTAGACTTTATTATAAGGTGAAAGGAGGAATAACGGCAGATACAATACATGTATTCAAGGCCAGCCAACTCAAAGAAGTCTAAAATCTTTCACCGTGGAATTTGTTGTATTCAAGATAATTTGTCTGATCATAACCAGACAGACATCACTTTATCGTATTCGGGCACTTATAGCTAGAACTTACCTCTGGCTGCAAAAAGGACCATACAAGTTACTGTAGCGTGATGGTAAACAACAAAAAGGGACCAAAGGCATTTCTTTTGCTCGAGTTGTTTAAAATGTCTGGCTCATAATATTTGCCCGGACAAACAAATTGTAAGATCAGTGTGCTTGGATGCCCTACCTTGTGGAGATCCTTTTGGACACTTGGGAATATCATCATGTAAGCGGGCATCTACAGGCCTTTCATTATAGTGACCTTTACTTTGAGAGCGCGACACATTTCTTGGGCTATGGGACCATTGGGAATCAGAATGCCTGGGACGAAAATCGACTGATTTTCGCACAGGAGATCTAGAACGATCCCGTTTTGGGCTGCTTGAACTATGTTTACCCTTACTGTCCTGGATGAGTTTATGCACAGCATCTACACCTTTGGCTAGCACTAACCTATCTTTCCCACTGACAAACAGGAACTTCTCGTCCATTCTGATTTTACAGCCCACATCCTTCTCAATCTGATTTATTGTCCTCTCAGTGAAAAGATCCCTGACTTGTTTATCTCTTGCTGGAACTCTTTCAAAGAAATCTGCATTTCTCCTATTTGCTCCAAGTGTGGATGGACAGCCCTATTAAGAAAGATAAGATGGATATGTAAAACTAAAGGACAAGTCTTTAACACTTCTATGATAACACTGATGGAAAAATATAGAGTATGTCTCAAAACTTCCATTTGGCGGACATAGTAAACAGTAATAGTTTTGCAAGAAGCTATTTAGAGAATAAATGTGTATAAGCAATGTGCATACAACGTCAGTGTCGCTATTAGTGTCGATGTGGTTGATCATTTGCACTAATGTGGTTCCGATAAAATATAACATCAAATGGAAGAATGAGGAATGACAAGTCTAGAATTTATCCATCAGAGTAAAATTAGATGGATGATACCACCGGTTTGTGTTATGCACCGCCTTGTAACAGCTATTTATGTTATGCATTGTTGTTAAGATAGTACAAAGCTGAGGTAAACATCGACAGAACAGAGGTTGGGCTGCAACAACTTGGAAGTAGAGTGGGTGATGAAGGGAATCAACTGAGGGAAGACTTAAGAAAACAGAGACCTTTTTATCCCATTGCTATCCATAAACCTGTGATGGGGTTACAGGGCATTCTTATATAAGGATGTTAGCTTCTGTACAAGGGCTCGATAACTGACTATTTGTCAATACTAACTGACTCCTTAACTCTTCTGGGTTTTATTCCTAACTGACTCTTGAAGTAGCCCTTCTATTCTTCCTCGATTCCCATGCTTGCACGCCTGTGTGGCTGCAGACCTGTGCACAGCTGTTGGCGCCAGTGTACACAATATGAATGCTGTTGATACACGATTGAATTTGTAGTTTTGTATCCATCAGGACGAAAATAGCTGGGTTAAACGAGAAAACTGAAAGATTTCCTTCCAGACTTTGCAGAAGTACAAGACCATTACTATGAAATTAAGTTCAATACTATCAATTAAGACAAAATGGAGGAGACACCAATTCCAAAAAAAATATAGTCATGGACCTACACTTCACTAAAAATAATAATGATCACGTTTTAATGCTGTTTGATTGAAAAAAGGTTGAAGCATATTTTTCTAAAATTAGGTGCTGCCGGTCACAAAGGATAAAGCAAGACTATTGATAAGCCTGGCAGTTCTTTACAGGTGATGTCAGGAAAGATTATTGTTGTTTAAGTTCACTATGTCCAGTAAAGAGTGTAACTACAAATCCAAGCACACTGCAAGGAGAAAACAAAGTGCAGTAGTCCATTATGTATTTATATCAATCAAGTAATCAGAATAAATGCCAGTTTTAGTTTCGGCAGAGAAAGGAGTACCTGAGTGAAATGACCTGATTCTCCACATATTTTACAGATCATTTCTTCTTCCTTCCTTTTCTTCCAGTTCCTTTCTGTAGCCTTAGCTTTAGCCTCCCAAACCCTAGCCTCTCTACTAGTGAAGTCAGTAGGGACAGCATTGGGATCTCTGGGCTCATCTTCATCATCTGACTTCTCACAGGTCAGGGGCTTCTTCTCATCATTTGCTTTAGGTATCACGCTATTTGCAGCAGATGCCACTGGACCGCTGTAAGCTTTCCCATAAACTTCATTGAAAAGTTCATCATCTATCTCAGGACTTGATTCCCTCGCCATTGGCTAAGAGAATATCTACTCAGCCTACAGTAATCACCACCAAAACAAGGAAAGAGAAAATACATTATTTAGCGAATCTGCGAATGCAACTGAAAATATATGCAAAGGCACTGAATTTTGCACATCGAAGCTACTACACATTCAGTAAGGTGTCGTTTGGTTCGAGGCAAGGCTGGGTTGGCTGAGGATGTCCCCAGCCACCTTTGTTGTTTGGTTGGGTGGGGTTGACTTGGTTGGATAACCACCTTTTGTTGTTTGATTGGACTGGAAGCATGAGAATTGGTTGGTTGCCATGATCACCTCTTTACTATGAGAAGGTGAGATTACCCATACACATGCATTTGTAGCTCGATTTTTTGAAATCTCATTATACCATATCCTCACTCAGTTTTGTTACCGTCTATAAACTAGCATAATAATAATAATAATATGTAACCACATAATAATAATAATAATATATGAGCTACTTTGAAACACATAACTGGTGCCACAAATAGCTCAATTACACTTATCAGACAGTTGTGACAAGTAGGATCTTTTCTACCTTTTCTAAACCGAAATTTCCAAGCTCATGGATAGCACACCAAAGACCTCAAGTACAACCTCAAAAGAGCAGCAGCGCTGCACTCCTCTGTGCTATGCTGTTAGTTAAAGTGGTAATTATTACTACTACATGCCGCCATAAGAAACAAATTTGGTACAAAAGTGTTTGATAATTTGTTTACATCTGAAAAGTCATTTGCCACCTAAAAAGAAGCAAGCTCGTGCCTCTGTTTGGCAAAACAGCAGTTATAATCCACACTATTCTGCATTTTTTTGCTTGAGTAAAGAAAAGCATGTCAACTGGACGAGAAACTAGATCAAATCCAGCTATTCTTCATATGCAAACTAGCTAGTTGCAGAGAAACATGAGAGATATAGGTCAGAACATAGCAAAAAAAGAGCAGAAGGCTCTACATGTCCATGCTTGTTGCAGAGATCAGATCGGAGGAGTTTGGGTGTGGGTGGAGGTCTGAAATTACAAACAACAATCGGCGGCACGATCATGGTTCACATTCCTGGCAAAAGGCGGATCTAGGCCGGCACACCCAGTATTGTGTATCTCAGCTTGGGATTAGAAATCACTGGTTGAATATAAGCTCATACCTCAAAGACCAACGTCCAGGAATATCGAGAGGGTGGAGACCGGAGTGACGCGAGGATGCAGAACGTACACGGCGATGGCGGCGGCGATACGCGTCAGAGGCGGAGGGGAGGCGTGGGCGGCGACGGTAACCTACGGCGCGGCGGCTCTAGGGCAAACCGGTGGTGGACCGTAGGAGAGATTTTAGAGGCACATTTGGGTCGGATTGGAGGAGCTTGGGTTGGGTTAGGTCGGGTCACAGCGTGAGATGGGCCTGAGGAGAAAAAGAAGGAAAATATGGGACGAAAATCAAAAAAATACCCCTCAAAGAAAAATCAAAATTCTTTTATTTGGTCCAAATCAAACGGAAAAATCCTTACGTGGAGGACATGTTTCTTCACTTTTAATACTCCCTCCATTTTTATATACAAGGCCACTATCAAAATTATAATTTGCAACTATACAAGGTCACTAATATTAATCGAGGCAAAATTGATGGCGTTTGCCTCGTAATAGCATCCGAAGACATTAATATCCCTTGTGTGCATGCATGAGTGAGAAGGTTGGCTTGCATTCCCAACATTAATCAACCAACAAGAAGTAAGAGGGTTGGCTTGTTGTGCGTGGGAGAGAAAAACCACATTAGTTAACACGACAAACAAGATGAAAAGCTAGCTTGCAACATTGATTTAACCATATCATTGACTTTTATCTTGGTACCTGTAATATGAGTTTGTGGCAAAGAACATGGGTGTTTAGGGCATCTGACCCTCAAACGCCCACAGCTGTCCGGACCGAGCGGTCCGGTTTTGCATCCAATGGAGTCCTGCATCGGTCCATTCGAGGGGTCCGGATACACTTTTTCAGCAAATCAGAGACAAATTGGGGAGCTTTGCGGGCATCCGGGTCGCTGCCACGCCCGCATCTGACTAACATAGGCCACCAAACAATCCCACCCGCCTTTTCCATGCTTTTTGTCTGAAGCACGTGTTGTTTCTCGTGTCGCATCAATGCCGGCTTAAAGATGGCCGACATTGGTGCCGCTTAATGTGACCGGACGGGAGGGCAGTGCTGACCAACGCGGCCTCTCAGGAGTCGTTGCTTCAATGCGGGCACAACTTTTCGAGGAACCAACTCCAGCCGTTGCGCCGCATTGAAACGACTGGTCGTCCGTTCGCATGGCCTGGCCGAGGCTATATAAGTTGTGCTCCGGTGCCATCCACATCACACTCACTGCATCACTCCGCAACTCCATCCTTACCTCCCCTCTTCCTCTACAACTCCGGCGATGGGCAAGTCATGGGCCTCGGCGTCGGCAGGCGACGACTCCGAAACAGGCTTCGGAGGTTCATGGCGACGCCGCCCTCGCACTCCGGAATCGTCATCCTCATCGACGACCGGCTCCTCGACGAAGGAGGAGATCGTCATCTCCACTGGCGATGAGGAGGATCAGCCGCTATAGCAGCAGACAGCGATGCAGGTCAAGGTGCACGCCGTGACTGGCGAGGAGTACGAGCAGCAGATGGAGGTCATGCTCCACCGCTCTGTCCTCCACGTCAATGGCCCGACGACGCTGATAACCCACAAGTATAATGGATCGCAACAGTTTTCGAGGGTAGAGTATTCAACCCAAATTTGTTGATTCGACACAAGGAAGCCAAAAAATATTTGCAAGTATTAGCAGTTGAGTTGTCAATTCAACCACATCTAGAGAATTAAATATCTGCAATAGAGTGATCAGTAGCATAGTAGTTTGATAGTTTGATAGCGGTAGCAACGATAGCAACAGTAACGGTGACGGTAGCAGTGATAGTTTTGTAGCAATTGTAATAGCAATAGGAAAGTAGTAGCTTAGCAAAGATCAATATGTGAAAAACTCGTAGGCATTGGATCGGTGATGGATAATTATGTTGGATGACATTCATCATGTAACAGTTATAACTTAGTGCGGCACGGAACTAGCTCCAATTCATCAATGTAATGTAGGCATGTATTCCGTATATAGTCATACGTGCTTGCGATAAGAACTTGCATGACATCTTTTGTCCTACCCTCCCGTGGCAGATGATCCGGCTTGAACTACGTCGGTATTTCCCCAAAAAGGAAGGGATGATGCAGCACATCTACGGTAGGTATTTCTCTTAGTGATGAGACCAAGGTTATCGAACCAGTAGGAGAACCACGCAACACTACGTGAACGACACTTGCACACAAAGAACAAATACTTGCAACCCGACGTGAGGGGTTGGTAATCCCTCCCGGGTAAAAGATAGGTAAAAACTTGTAGTAGATTGGACAAATATATCTCGCGGAAATGCGAGATAAAATAAATAATAAATTAAAGCAAGGTATTTTTGGGTTTTTGGATTAATAGATCTAAAAATAAAAACAAATAAAAATAGATCTTGAAGGCAAATATAATAAAGAAGAGACCCGGGGGCGTAGATTTCACTAGTGGCTTCTCTAGAGAAAAATAGCATACGGTGGATAAACAAATTACTGTTGGGCAATTGATAGAACTTTGAATAATCATGAAGATATCCAGGCAATGATCATTATATAGGCATCATGTCCAAGATTAGTAGCCCGACTCCTGCCTGCATCTACTACTATTACTCCACACATTGACCGCTATCCAGCATGCATCTAGTGTATTAGGTTCATGGAGAAACGGAGTAATGCAATAAGAACGATGACATGATATAGATAAGATCTACTCATATAGGAATAGACCCCATCTTGTTATCCTTAATAGCAATGATACATACATGTCGTTTCCCCTTCTGTCACTGGGATCGAGCACCGTAAGATCGAACCCATCACAAAGCGCCTCTTCCCATGGCAAGAAAAATCGATCTAGTCGGGCACCCCTCTGGTACTTCTTTGGCCCATCATGTGTCTTCTGGCCCAGAAAAATTCTCCAAAAAGTTTCGCTGCATTTGGACTCTGTTTGGTATTGATTTTCTACGAAGTAAAAAACAAGCAAAAACAACAACTGTCACTGGGCACTATGTCAATAGGTTAGTCCCCAAAAATGATATAAAGTTGCTATAAAATGTTGGTGTCAAAACCAGCAGATCTCAGGTAGGGGGTCCGAACTATGCGTCTAAGATTGATGGTAACATGAGACAGGGGACACAATGTTTTGCCCAGGTCCGGGCCCTCTCTATGGAGGTAATACCCTACGTCCTGCTTGATTGACCTTGATGAATATGAGTATTACAAAAGTTGATCTACCACAAGATCGCAATGGCTAAACCCCATAGGTCTAGCTTATATGGCTATGATGAGGTATCTATCCCTCCGAACTAAGTCCTCCGGTTTATATAGACATCGAGAGGATCTAGGGTTACACAAGGTCGGTCACAAAGAAAGGAATCTACATATTTGATCGCCAAGCTTGCCTTCCACGCCAAGGAGAGTCCTATCCGGACACGGGTGCAGTCTTCGGTCTTCGTATCTTCACAGCCCATCAGTCTGGCCCATGACTAACAGGCCGGACGCCTGAGGACCCCTTAGTCCAGGACTCCCTCAGTAGCCCCTGAACCTGGCTTCCATGACAAGGTATCCGACGCGTAGATCTGTCTTCGGCATTGCAAGGCGGGTTCCTCCTTCCGAACTCCAAGATAGTCTTCATACGGATTGAACGTGTCCGGACCTGTAACACACACCACACACAACTGCAGAGAGAATATAATATTCCACGAGTCCAATCTACTGGCAACTTTTTACAATATGACATCAAGTCTGCCCGGTCATAATTTCGAACTATTTTTCATCCGCCGCTCCACGTTTTGAGACGCAGTTGCCATTGGCATGTCTTGTCTAAGCAGAGATCGTGTCCCCTTATTGCGGGATCCTCATCAATACGGGCGTG